GCGTACCTCTAAAAGGGCTATCAAAGAAACCTACGTCTGTTGATTAAGTACCAATAGCCATGATTAGGGGATCAATAAGAATAATTATGTACGCTAACTGCATACTTAATGAAGATTGTTTCTTGACAATAGGGGGAGATAATAGGCTAACTTTTAATGGAATGCCAAGAAATTTCATAGAATGAAAACATCTTCATTATTTAAATCCATGTACTAGTTAGACTGAACTAGAAGTTCAAAAGATAATCTATTGATCATAATGATCAGAGTGACTGGTCCCATATACCTTCCCCAACTTGGACCAAATATATATATCGATACTCCTTGACCTAAGTGTAGGAGATTTATCGGTGATAGAAATAAGAATCATAATACTAGATCTAGTAAAGAAACTTTGTCACTCTTGAAACACCTTAAATAATTATATCTTGGAGACGTTCGTCCAGATGATAAAAAACCTAGTAAATTTATAGGTGCACCAAACAAACGCAATACTAGGGATGTCGAACGAACAGATCAAAATATCTTTGGGAAATGTCTAGAATTTGGTTGTTTTTTAAATTGCCATTACTTTTACAAATATGGGAGACATTTATAAAAAGGTTATAGTTGTTGACAGGACAATTGTCATTACAAATTGCTCGTTATATCATAATCTGGATCTAGAGTTAGGCACCGGAAGTGCCATGACTATTTAACGTATAAAGGAGCAATTAAGGCATAGCTCGACTTGTTAAAGTGAATAATTCTCTTTATAACAATACACCATTGAACGTTAACCCTGAAGGTTACAAATGAGTGTGTGCATGAAAGAGAAATAAGAATAACGAGGTGATAGGATATGAAGCGAGTTTGTAGCCTATGGGTTCACGTAGAAACCCTTGATTGATTTTAATCAAATATACTCTCCCACGGTAAATGGCATTAAGTTCCGCTACATAATATCATTGGCAGGAAAATAAATTTAGATATGCAGCTAATATTAAATTCAAAATTCCTCGAAGGATTTTAAGTTCTCGAAATGAAAAAAATGAAAATAACAACATGTATATTATTAATTTACAAATTAAAGGTCTTTATATGACCTGAAATGTAAATAATTAACTAAGTGTTTTTCCTCTTGAAGAAGGAATATGTAGATACTATGTGTCATTATGTGTTCATTAAGAAATTACTAATGGAGTTATTTATCTATTATTTTAGTCCATATAAATGGTATAAAGATTATTGAAATACATAAAGAGCTTAATGATATTAGCTCCTAGCGACAGAGTTCGAAATGAAAGACTTGGAAAACTCAAGTATGACTTGGAAAGACTTGGGTATTGGCTATTTTGTTTGATCCCCGTGATGCTAAATTCCAAACTGGTTAAATAATGAATTCCCCCCAATGTCCCAAATGAGGACAATAACGTTTGTGTTGTACAAATGATATATGAGTATGTTAAAGAATATTTGACAAAGCATATATAGCGTCAAAATTCAACCAATATGAGCTCTAAAAGAGTCACAAAATTATTGTGCAAGATATTCACTCTAGTGACAATCCAGAAGATTTGTCTAATCCATTTCTACAATATTTGAAAATATATTTTATGTGTGGGATTTCAAGATTGTTATCTTGAGGGAGAGTATCATTTTACATGAATCAATCCTGAAGATTGGATTTTGACAAATAACGGTTGTACTCTTTTTGCTTAGTTAAGTTTTTCCTCACGGGGTTTTTTTCCATAAATCTAAGGTTTATAATGATGCAACTAATCTAAAACAAGAATACACATACATCATGCATTCTTTTTCTCAACTAGTTTTTTTTTCCCCCACTGGATTTTTTCTAGTGAGGTTTTAACGAGGCATGAGTATGATATAGTAATGTCAATGGGGAAAAGTTGTAAAATAGTTGTTTAAGTAAACAAATCCCAAAACCCTAAAGATTATGTCGATTATGCCTTGAAGGCTTATGGTTGTACTCTTTTTCCCTTAAATAAGTTTTCTCCCACATGGTTTTCTTAAGTTAAGGTTTTGTAATGAGGCAACCAGTACAATATATAATTTTACAAATATCATGTACTCTTTTCTTCAACTAGGTTTTTCTCACGTGGTTTTCCTAATAAAGTTTTTAATGAGGCAGGATCATGTCAAATAATGTCCAAGGGGGTGTTATAAACAAAACATTATTGTGGACATTATTATCCATTTTGTAACAGTTGTAACTGATATACTTATTACCATTTATATGCATTTATTTTATTACCTTGTGTATATATACCTTTGTATAGTATAAGAAAGACGTATGAATGAGAAGATCCTACTTCCCTCTCCATTCTCCGTGTATTCCTTCTTCTTGTTTGTTGCAATTTCTATTATTTCCTAACAATCTTCTAATATTTATAAGATTTATGAGTTTCTTTATTTATTTCAACCATTTAATTTTACTAACTTTTTCTTATTCATTGGACATTATTCAATTGCACAGAGTGTGTATTTACATCTAGTAATAATAAATTATACAAGAGTCAATATTGTTTTAAGTATAGTTCTAATGAGTATATAAAATAGGTTGGTGTAATCATGTGTATTAATAATAAGTTTTACATTTTAATTTCTTTGTTCTATAATGATATAAAATATGAGAATTAATTTGCAAAATTATCTTAGTCAAAATACCTTTTGCTGGAATTAAGTCTAAATAAATATGCAAGTAGTGGAACACAAGGTTACTAAAGCAGAGTAGGAAGTACAACTTTGGAGAGGAAAACCTACTTCATTTTCATTCACAATAATCCCAAAAAAAAAAAAATTGTGCATCATTTAATTTGAGAAATAAGTTAAACAAATACACGTGGGTAGCACAAAGAAAAAAGTGGACTCATATCATATTGTTAGAGTTCTTCGCACTTTTTGTCCCACGAGTTTTGTGACATTAACAGGATTGCTTTACGACTTTCAAATCTTGCAAAATTAGTTCACGGCTATCACGTTTTTTTAGCACAATGGTCCTTCCGGCTAAATCTTCGTCCACTGCTCAACCCTATTGTGAAGGGGATTTTTTTTCCAGTCACAAATGGACGGAAATTGAGTCGGAAAGACCATTTGTGCTATAAAAAAAAAAAAAAATTGATAGTCGTGGACCAAGTTTACAAAGTTCGAAAGTCGTGGAGCAATTCTGTTAGTGTCACAATACTCGTGAAACCAAAAGAGCGAACTAACACCTCTACTTGAAGTTTGATCAAATTGCAGGAATCCATCCCCTTGTGGATGGAAAGAAATGCACTTCTCCATCTCTGTTTCTGTGTATTTCTAATACACAAAGTATGTTATGCAGATGATGGAAATGGGCATACACCTCCATTACTTCTCCAATCCTTGTTACCAATCCAAATACCGTTCCTTTATCCCATCTACACTCAAAATATTTGGGTTCCTTTACAGTCCAAGCACCAGTGGTTTTGCTTCTCACACTAACACCAATTCCATCAAACTCCTCATTACCATCAAAACCCCTGTTAATGATTTTAAAGGTTGTACGCCTCAAAAGATCTGGAATATAGCAACATACCGAATCTCCCTCTACTTTAAACACAATTGGGACAGTATTATCTTCAGGATATGCCTACATTATTATATATAATAATCAAATATCAAAATCGTTGCCATCTATTTACATACTAGTATTTTTTTATGCACGATGCGCAAAAAGTAGGTGCCCAATATTAGTACATTAATATTAAAATTTTAAATTTATTTAGATTTTAGATATTTAAATTTAAATTATTCTAAATAATAATAATAATAATAATAATAATAATAATAATAATAATAATAATGTAAAACATTTTTATAAATTTGATATTTATATTTTAGGTAATAATAATAATTAACATACAACTCAAATATATAATGTGTATATATATTATTATTATTAATGAAGAAGATAAGAAAATATATAGTGGATGCATGTGCATGGTAACAATAGTGGAAAAGATAACGGAAGTTATAACGATAGGGGTATGTTTGTCCAAAATATTTTAAAGTACAACTTTTATAGCATAATGTAAAAAAAAAAAAAAAAAAAAAAAAAAAAAAAAAAAAACTTAACGAAAAAAAAAAAAAAAGACATAAATGAGGGTATTATAACTTTCATTAACACTTATTATGTTTTTAGATATTACCAAAGAGGGGAACATATATAACTAACCTGGAACCAATTTTCAATCGAAGGAATCCTCAAACCACTGCAATTTGTTATCTCAACACATTCTAAGCATTCAACGGTGTCCAGTCTTGGAAGCTCAACCAACCTTTTGCAATTGGAAATATACAACTCTTTCAGTCTTTTCAAGTTTGCTATTTTTTCCAATGACACACAATTTTCCACACACAGCTTCTCTAAACTATGAGGAAGTTGTAGTAGTGCTCTTAGATTTTGCCAACCATTCAACTTGAGAGTTTCCAAATTAGAAAGACGAGAAAGGCTGAAGGGTAAGCTTTGAAGATGATAGCAACATTCCCCCGATAAATCTAAATATCTCAATGAGGTTAAACTTCCAAGATAGTTATAAGGAATAGTCAAAGCTCTGCAGTTTGCTATCGTAAGTTCGAATAAGGATTCAATACTCTCTAAGCTAGGAAGCTCAACCAAACTTTTGCAGTTCTGAATACTCAACCTTTTAAGTCTTCTCAAGTTTGATATAGTAGTTATTGTTTCTAATGACACACAATTTAATGCATAGAGTTCCTTCAAACTAGGTGTAAGTTTTAAAAGTGCTCTAAGATTTTGCAAATCCTTGAGGGAGAGGATTTTCAAATTGGAGAGATGAGAAAGGTCAAAGGATAAGCTTTCAAGATAGCAAATTCCTGATAACTCTAAATATGACAATGAGGTCAAACTCTCGAGAGCAATTGGAAGATTTACTTGCCGCAAATTGTTGAAACTCAGAACCAGACATTCCAATGAGCATAAATTCGCAACTGAAGATGGAAACAAATCAACAGGGGGATCACTTTGACTTCTTTTTGATGGACCCACAGGCAACTCTCCCATGTGTAGAAATTTTAGATTTCTCAAACATCCCAAAGAAAATGACAAATGTGAGAGGGCAGTATTTCCAGCATCTAATATTTGAAGTTGCTCTAATTTTCCAAAGTCAATTGGAAGCTCCCTAAGATTCTGGCAACCATATAACATTAAGCACTCAAGTGATTTTAACTTGCAAATGCTACTTGGAAGCATCTCGAGTTTCTCACACTCGGTGAAATCCAACCGAACAAGTCTCTCCAAATTTCTAATTGATGGGTGCACCTTTGCCAAATTTGAACAACATTTGAAAGATATGTCTTGAAGACTCTGTGCCCCACTGAAGTCTGGTGTATTTTTAAGTTGTTTACAAGAATCGAGCTTTAAGATCCTCAAGCATATAAAATTCTGTTAAGATAAAATACAAGGCTGGGTTTTAATGCATTTCTATTTTTCTAGTCAAAGTTCTTAGGAAATATGCAATGTTAAAAGAAGTATTAGACATACTAACCTGCATATTGGGTTGAAATTCTTCGATATTGCTACCTTTCAAGTCTAACTCTACAAGTTTCATAAAGTCAAAATCCAATTGTATGTGACTCAAATGACAATTATGAAAACTTAGAAGTCTAAGCTCATTGGACAAATATTTAAAAGATCCTCCAAGACGCACACCATCCAATATGAGTATTCGTAAATTTACCATCATTATGAATACTTTGGTACTCAAAACCACATTCCTCAACATGTTAGACTTTACAATCATCCCTTCAATTGCTTCCGTGCCCTAAAAAAGGTGTTTTATATAGCAATATGTTAGATATTCTAAAATCTTCCAGATCTTAATAAAACTAAGTATTACAAACAAATGAACTAACCAGATTAATAATTCAAGTAAAAAGGAACTAAATGTTTTACCTTGTTGCCTTGAAGAACATCAAAGACATCCTTTGGGTCCACCAATCTACTTCGCTTGCTTGGATCTCTTGGATATTCCTTTTTAACAATTTCTCTTCCCATGTCCTGTACTAAATCATGCATCTCAAGCCTTTCAAATTCTCCACCTCCCTGACTTGTTAGCAAACATCTTTCTATCAAACTTCTAATTCCACATTTAGCATGAAAACCACAGGCTTCCAATATCATAGTTGTATCCTTTTTGTCATGCCCAACGAAAAAACAAGAAATATCAAGAAAGATGTTTTTAGTATCATCATCAAGTGCATCATAGCTTCTTTTAAGAACTTTTTGAATATCGTCACGAGGTTTGCTTCTTAATTTCTCAACTTCTTCAATCCACTCTTGCACGGATCTTCTACGCAAATGAGAACCTATAATGGTAAGTGCTAATGGAAGTCCATCAGTATAACTTGCTATCGTTTTGCATAGTCCATAATACTCTTTTAATGGTATAGGAACACCAAAAGCATGCCAACTTAAGAGTTGCAAAGAATCACCAATGCTTAATTTTTTAACCATGTATGTCTCTTTTGTTCCAAGGTCACTCAACAAATGAGAATCTCTAGTTGTTACTATAACAACGCTCCCCTTACCAAACCAATTGCGTTGTCCTGCTAATGATTCTAGTTGACTTATTTGGTCTATTTCATCAAGAACAATAAGAACCTTCTTTGAGTGTAATCTTGCTTTGATCAAACTTATTCCTTCATCAACATTATTAATTTCAAAATTCTTTCTTTTGAGTGTATTATGAAGAAGTTTCTCTTGTAAAGCAACTAGACCATTGTGTCCCTTACTAGAAACTTGTCTAATATTTGCAAGAAAGCAACTACCATCAAACCCTTGAAAACTCATGATCAAGTGATTGTATATGGCTTTGGCAACAGTTGATTTTCCTACACCACCCATGCCAAAAATTCCAATCATCCGAACATCATCATTTGTTTGAGATTTTAATAAATCAAGCATATCTCAAACACTAGAATCAATTCCAATAGGATGCTTCGCAACATTCGTGGGCATAAAATTCAGCACCCTCAGTACCTCTTTCGTAATGGTGTTGATAAACTTTGACTCACGCCTGATCAAGTTTTAAATTTATTGAATATAATCTTAGTTTATACAGTAAAAACAAAAAAAAAAAAAAATAAAAACAAAACAAAAAACAAAACAAAACAAAAAGAAAGGCAAAAAATACAAAAGTAAGAAACCAACTTGAAAATATGTCAGCAGACATTAATTAAAACACTAATCCACCAGTTAAATAGAGATAAAAAGTGTAATACAATATTGAAATTTGCAGCCATATTCCACTACGGGAAATATCTCGGGGTTGAAAAGTTGACTGCCTCTGATACCAATTGGACGGGAAACTCGATTACAATTATCTGCAAATTATGATGTCCACACATTTGAAAGCTCAAAATCTTTGGAGCTTTGTTGACCCTGATCTACCCGAAGGAGCTGATGCAGCCCAAACACGGCGAGATCAGTTGGCCTTGAGACAGATTCACCAAGGTGTTCATTACTCCATTTTTGGGCAATTAGCTTGTGCTCAAACAGCAAAGCAAGCTTGGGACATCTTAAAGGTGTCAAACAAAGGAGTCGATTGGACACAGAAGTCTAAATTGCAGTCGTTGAGAAGGTTGTATGATAATTGTGAGATGACCTCTACAGAAACAGTAGATACGTATTTCACTCGTCTTATTGATATGGTGAATAAGATGATGTTATACGGAGATACAATTGAAGATGGTGCAGTGGTTGAAAAAGTTCTACGAACTATGCCGATGAAGTATGACCATGTGGTGGTTTCAATAACAGAGTCACACAAAACCGAGCTCTTATCAATTGCAGAGTTGAAAGGTATGGTAGAAAGTCATATCGATAGAATTACGTCAAAATCGGAACCACTAGCTGAAGAAACTTTGAAGAGTCAAGTCACCCTTAATGTGACTGGCGCTAATCAAGAGGTGGAGGATCTGGTAGAGGTCGTGGAAGAGGAAGAGGAGGTTCTAGTGGAAGATGTCGTGGTAACTTCAACCAAGAAGGAGGACGTGGTAACTCTAACCAAGGAAGAGGTGGAGGTAATAACAAACAAGGTAAATTTTCATTTCATTGCTACAATTGTGGCAAGTATGGACACAAGATTGCAGATTGCTGGTATAATGAGGACAATCGTGGAAATCAATCATACATTGCTGAAAACACTGCTGAAAAGTCTGGTGAGAGTTCTGAAACCTTACTTTTGGCCAGCGATAGTTTTTCTGCTGATAAGAACATATGGTTCTTAGATACTGGGTGTAGTAACCATATGTGTGGGAAGAAAGAATTGTTTTCCGAACTAGATGAATCAGTCCGGTCTAAAGTGACATTTGGCAATAAGTCAAAGGTGCCAATTTTGGGAAAAGGTAAAATCTATATTCAGTTGAAGGACGGTACTCATAATTTTATATCCGATGTGTTCTATGTTCCTGAACTACACCAAAATTTGTTGAGTATGGGACAATTGTCAGAAAAATGATATAAGATAAATATTACTCAAGGGTGTTGTACCATTGCAGATGCTAAAGGAGTTTTGATTGCAAAGGTAAATATGTCCCAGAATCGACTGTTTCCTTTGAAAATTAAGCATACTCTCCTTGCTTGCTTTAATTCTGAAATTTGTGATGATAATTGGCTATGGCATATGCGGTTTGGGCATTTTCATTTCTCTGGATTAAACTATCTTGCGAGAAAGGAACTTGTTTCTGATTTAACTGTTGTGAATGTCCCTGATCGTATCTGTGAGATTTGTGTGATTGGGAAGAAGCATAGAGATCCCTTCCCCGTGGGCAAGTCAATGAGAGATCCCTTCCCCATGGGCAAGTCAAGGAGAACCACAAAACAGTTGGAGATTGTTCACTCAGACCTGTTTCGTTGGAGGTTCCCTCACATGGAGGTTGTAAGTACTTTATTACTTTCATTGATGATTTCAGTAGGAAAACATGGGTTTACTTTCTGAAGCAAAAGTCTGAAGCATGTGATGTTTTCAAACAATTTAAGGCTTTTGTTGAAAAGCAAAGTGGTTATGAAATTAAAATCTTGAAAACTTATAGAGGTACAAAATATATTGCTTGTGATAATTTTCTGAAGAAGAAGGGTATCCAACACCAGATGACAGCTAGATACACTCCACAACAAAATGGAGTGGCTGAGAGGAAAAATAGGTCTATCATGGATATGGTAAGGTGCATGTTGAAATCCAAGAATCTGTCTAAGCATTTTTGGGCAGAAGCTATTGCTTGTGCTGTCTATGTGTTGAATAGGTGTCCAACTAAAAGTGTCTGTGATAAGACATCCGAAGAAGCTTGGAGTGGGAAAAAACCCTCTATCAGATATCTCAAGGTTTTTTGGATGTTTGGCATATGCACATGTGCTAGATCCATTGAGAAAGAAGTTGGATGATAAAGGTGAGAAGTGCATATTCATTGGTTATAGTGACGTTTCAAAGGCTTATAAACTATACAATCCTGAACTACAAAGGTTGTTATAAGCTGGGATGTCAATTTTGATGAATATGGTGCCTGGGATTGGTTAGCTATAAGATATATTAAATATAATCTAAATCTAAAAACATAATAAGCTTCAATCCAGGTTATACCCCTGGTTTATGTCCGTTTTTTCTGTTAAATTCTTTTTGTACCTTGTGCTATAAAAGTTGTACTACATAATTTTTTGGAAAAAAATATCCCTGCAGTTATAACTTCTGTTATCTTTCTACATTATTATTACCATGTACATGCATACATAATATTATTTCTTACATAATTCCATGGTAAGTTTGAATTCATTTAGGTTTTAATTAAAATGTTACCATAGTTATATTTAATAATTTATCATTTCTATAATTTTTACCTCAAAAATATTAATATGAATTATACAATTATATATATACACACACACAATATATATATATATATATATATATATATATATATATATATATATATATATATATATATATATATATATATATATATATATAGACACACACACACACACAATTATTTGTTAAAAAAATTAATATAACTAAGATTTTAATATTTAGTTTAATATTGGGCATATATTTTTTGCGCATCGCGCATATAAAATACTAGTATATCTATACGTATATATATTTAATTAAGAAGAGAGAGAGAGAGAGATGAATTGAATTTACTTGATTGATGAATTAAAATGCTTGAATACACATACTATTTATACTAAATGAAAGATAACTCAAATGCTAAAATTAAAGAATTAATGCTCCATGTAAAGCTAACATCAAGGCCACATTCCATTTGCATGATCCACATACTGCACCTAACAAACTAACTCATCTTAGTTTAATATTATAATATTATTATTATTATAACAATTATGTTAAGGAAACCAACACATTATCTATAGTGTAAGGATACTATTGGACTTTAGGGCCAAACATAACCTTTAGAGATACATTGGGCAGAGGCCGATGAAGGGTCAAGTTTAACACTTTACTTCTCAAAAATATGGTCAGCAATATATAATTAAATAAAGTTGTGACTTTGTTGCGATCTATAACTTTTGACATAATGGTATGCACTTGATCTTAAGATCTTAATAAGTAGTATTAGAGTCAGGTCACCGGTTTGAGTCTCAACAAGAGTAAAAAGGGTAATAAGGTGCAGTAAAGAGGAAGAAATTAAAAGGCATCTATTGTGGGATGTTATTTCTTAGAGGGTACATATGAAATATTTTAATTGTATATGCGTCAAAATCGTATGTATGGAGAAGGCATCTATTCTCTTGTTCTTTTTTTCTAGCTGAAGTGCTAAAAGGGTAAAATAAGTAAATTACTCCTTAGACCTCTCAAGTACTATTTAATGTTAACTTCAATTCATGAGTGAAATCCATCATTTTGGACCTATTAATAAGAATCTATGGCAATGATTACATTTCTTGTACGTTGTTTGACAATTATTTTCATATCCTCACCATTTAATGGACTGTTTAGTTTTTTGAAGAGAATGAACTGTTTAGTTAGACGTAGTTGTAATTCAATTAAAACCTAATTTTTTGACTATTCGAATAACAATGTTTGGTTGGAGAAAATTGCAATTTCCTCATTTTATTGAATTGCAATTTATACATTCCCCATATGAATTACAATTCAATTCAATTCAATGGGGAAAGAAAAAGGAAAAATTGAAGAAAAAAATACTTTTTTTATCATGGATTATTATTATTATTATTATTATTATTATTATTATTATTATTATTACACAAGGACATTTTAGTTTTTATACCACTTCTTCCATTCTCATTCCTAATAATTCTATTCCTCCCTACCAATCAATGTAATTTGAATTCCTACTTTTTCCACCTTATTCTTTTGCCACCGAATTACAATTCTTTTCTCCCCTAATTCCTTCATTCCAGCCAAACGCGCTGTTAAGGATTGTTGTCATTCAAGATGTGAGTATGATGCATATTCAATTATGAACACTAGTTCAATCAATGGGCAAAAAATCGATTTTCAACTACAGATTTATGTTAGAAGATGCAGATTCATCTCCAATTAATTTTAAATTTTCCTTTAAAAGATTACCATAAATATGAATTTATTATGTCTGTAAATGTGCCAGATTGCTACAAATATCCAAAAATAAAAGGAAATCTAAAAGAGATAGGACAACATTGACTCTTTGTGGTTCAGTAGGTTGAGAAAGTATGTTATAAAAAGATACTATATTGTAATAGTGTCATTAATACTAAAAAAAAAAAAAAACAAAACAAAAAGAGATCAGATTACCCGTTTTTAATGGTTTGAAAATTCCACCCGGACACATTAGCAATTGCAGCAAGTGCATCTTTCCACTCATTAACTTTTTTGGTCTCCAAATCGTTGTTTGTGTAGAGAGAACGCATCACCAAACAAGAT